TTTAAGTTGAAAACAACACCAACACCAACAACACCAGCACCATCAGCACCACCACCACTACCAACACAAAAACAGACACAATGAAATTATGTTTAAGTTGAAAACAACACCAACACCAACAACACCAGCACCATCAGCACCACCACCACTACCAACACAAAAACAGACACAATGAAATTATGTTTAAGTTGAAAACAACACCAACACCAACAACACCAGCACCATCAGCACCACCACCACTACCAACACAAAAACAGACACAATGAAATTATGTTTAAGTTGAAAACAACACCAACACCAACAACACCAGCACCATCAGCACCACCACCACTACCAACACAAAAACAGACACAATGAAATTATGTTTAAGTTGAAAACAACACCAACACCAACAACACCAGCACCATCAGCACCACCACCACTACCAACACAAAAACAGACACAATGAAATTATGTTTAAGTTGAAAACAACACCAACACCAACAACACCAGCACCATCAGCACCACCACCACTACCAACACAAAAACAGACACAATGAAATTATGTTTAAGTTGAAAACAACACCAACACCAACAACACCAGCACCATCAGCACCACCACCACTACCAACACAAAAACAGACACAATGAAATTATGTTTAAGTTGAAAACAACACCAACACCAACAACACCAGCACCATCAGCACCACCACCACTACCAACACAAAAACAGACACAATGAAATTATGTTTAAGTTGAAAACAACACCAACACCAACAACACCAGCACCATCAGCACCACCACCACTACCAACACAAAAACAGACACAATGAAATTATGTTTAAGTTGAAAACAACACCAACACCAACAACACCAGCACCATCAGCACCACCACCACTACCAACACAAAAACAGACACAATGAAATTATGTTTAAGTTGAAAACAACACCAACACCAACAACACCAGCACCATCAGCACCACCACCACTACCAACACAAAAACAGACACAATGAAATTATGTTTAAGTTGAAAACAACACCAACACCAACAACACCAGCACCATCAGCACCACCACCACTACCAACACAAAAACAGACACAATGAAATTATGTTTAAGTTGAAAACAACACCAACACCAACAACACCAGCACCATCAGCACCACCACCACTACCAACACAAAAACAGACACAATGAAATTATGTTTAAGTTGAAAAAACCACCACCAACAAAAACAACACAACAACAGCGACGACAAATAGTTGCAACCCGCACATGAATACATTTTTTCAAGTCAGTTGTTGGCGGAACTGGGCTTCACAAAGGGTGGGCCAGGGGCCAGGCAAGCGCGGCCCCTTGAAGGGTCTGCAGCGAAGGGCCGTGTTGGGCCGGGCAGCCGGGCAGAGCCCACCTGACTCAGGCAGGGGCACCCTTTAACCAGATTGCTGTATAGCATAGCGCCCCCACACGCACGCGGCCAGAGAGAGAGAGAGAGAGAGAGAGAGAGAGAGAGAGAGAGAGAGAGAGAGAGAGAGGCTGAGAGAGTGAGAGAGAAATGGTGACGCGGATGGGTAGGTGGAAGAAAGGGAAGAGGCGTGCATGCGTGGGGGTGGGGGTGGAGCATGGCGT